GAGAGAGAGAGCGAGACTCGGAAATAATCCTCGCTGTTAATGCGACGGTCAGCGCAGTGTGCGTGCTAAACACCGTAATACAAAATAATAACAGACCTTTAAAACGTCGTTAAGTCTCGGCGTCGATGGAGTAACGGCATTAAGCAAGCGCGCGACTCTCTCGCGTCGGGTGCGCCGCGTTAATTCGCGAAACGCGAGCATGTCGCGAGTCTCTCCTCTCTCTCTCTCTCTCTCTCTCTCTCTCTCTCTCTGTATTCTACTTCACTCTACTCTCTCTTCCTCTCGCGTACACACGTGCAATCGATATTCGCCGCGTTTTGAAATAATAATTATCGAGCCGGTTGCCGGCGCGCGTAATGGAGCTTTTTCGTATTAATGTTTCGCGACAACAAAACCCCGGGCCAGACCGGTGACGGTGTCGGGCTGAACCGAGCCGTGAGAGAAAGAGAGAGAGGGAGAGAGAGACAAAGTGAGAGAGAGGAGAAAGTGGGAGAAGGGAAGGAGGGAGAAAGCTGAGAGAGCCGTGTCGAGGGAGGAGCGCGCAGCGCCCTTTCGGATTATTTGCACGCCGCGAAATTTCATGGAATAATACGCGGGGCGCGGGTGCGCGCGCGGCCGCGAAAATGCACGTGAAAAATTAACACGGTCAATTTGCCGCGGGCGCGGAGCGGAGCGGAGCGACGGCGAGCGGCGAATTCTGTTACGCTTCGTCGCGCAAATTCGCCGGAGTGGTCGCGATACCGGTCAATATTTAATTCCGGCAATGGAATGCCGCCGAGATGCACCGCGAAACGAGCAAGCTAACGGCCGGACGGACGGACGAGTGAATGAAACGCGTAATAGCCGTATCACACTAGCGACTACGGCTGCGATTATGTCTCTTGGCCAATGAAAAAAGCGGTAGTAACTAGCAGCTTCTTTCTGACTGGTCAAGAGACATAATCGCAGCCGCAGTCGCGAGTCGCTAGTGTGATACAGCTATAACGTCGGCCGGAGTAATGCCGCGCGACGTTCGTATCGACGCGGGAGGATCATGTCGTTTTCCGTAATGTAACGGAGAGCCGGCCGAGTGGTTGGTTGGTTAGTTGGCTGACTGGCTGGCTGGCTGGCTGGCTGCTTTGCCCGCCCGCGGCACTTACGCACCTTTGCATCGTTTCTAACGCAAATGCGTATGTATGCGCAGAAAAAAAGAAGAGCAAGCACGGACATGCGCGTGTTAGATTTTTATGCGCTTTCCAGCGCGCGCGACAAAACGGCGCGCGACCAGTGCACGCGTTGGAAAAGAGAAAAACCTCGGGGTACGTCTGTTACCGTTTAAGCTCAAACCTTTAGTTTCTAAGCCCGGTGAGCAACAGGTTGCGCCATTGTGGCGACTTGAAAACTCCGCTTACGCGGATACTTTCAAAATCCTTCTCTACCTCTCTCTCTCTCTCTCTCTCTCTCTCTCTCTCTCTCTCTCTCTCTCTCTCTCTCTCTCTCTCTCTCTCTCTATCTATCTATCTATCCCTTGCTCTCTGTCGATGATCTCTTTCTCTCAATTCCTGTCTCTATCGCCTCCCTCCTCTTTTTCTCTCCCTCTCTTCTCATCTCTCTATGTACAATTATTCTTTATTGTTTCGATGCCGCGGACTTCCCGTTGCACTTGAGACGTCGTTTGAAGAATTCCTATTGCGCAAAGATTTCTCAATCGGAATGAACGCTCGTCGTAACTCTCGCGCGTCCATCTTTCTTTCTCTGTCTCAGACGCGTAACCCAGGTCTTTAAACGACGGAAAAGCTCGGAATCGAACGGAATCTCGGCCGGAAAGAGCGCG